AGGAGGTCGGCAGGATTAGGACCATCTTACGACCTCCACTTTAGTTGTAATATTAGGAAACTAGGTTTATTAGTATAAATGTGTATTATGAATGTGTGTTATGTAAATGGTCAAATACTTCAATTTACCACATGTGGAGGGATACAAAGAGAAATGCAACAAAAACCGTAAGGTCCGATGAGTAGCCAATTAGAATGAAGTTATCAGTAGAAAAGGCAGAGTTTTCAAAATGTGAAAAAGATATACGCGTGGTGCTGGCAATGACCGAAGCAGTTAGCCGGCCGAAAAAAGAAAAGAATTAGCATTTGGTGAATCAAGGATGTGGTTTTTTTTAAACAAATTACATTTTAAACAAATGTTTTGAGTTAAACCAAATTTCTTTTAAACTGTGAGAAATTATTGAACAATTGTGCCCTAATTGGTAGACAATATTACAAACAACAGGTAATGAATAATTAGTCCCATGGCCGAAATGTGAATCCTATAAATATAAAATTAAATATTTTATTATCTGATCGAATGATTTTATGAAACCTTATACAACCAGATTAAAGTAATTGGAAATTGAAATTTCATCAAAAATGGAATCGCTGTTAGAAAATGTAGAGTTAAGGATTCTTTCAAGGTGTACACTTTATAAACCAGTCATGATTTATGTCCAATGGAATCGTTCTGTTTGACGGCAACTGAATTTTGAAGAAAGTAAGATCAAAGAAAACCATAGAATTGGATATTCAAGGTGTTGATTTATTATCTTGAACACCCGGCGTTAGCACGCAAACTGCCCAAATATGAATGTCTCTTCTAATACGCTCTGGCACGAACCACCGAGAAAAAAGTACCTCGGTTTTTCATTTCTTTCGAAGATGGCAAGCTGAGATTTGTTTCAACATTCACATTCACTTTTTTATTTAACAAGTGAGCACGAAAATTTATATAAGAAAATATTGAAATTCCATGCTAAATTTTTTGTTTTAATGACTGGCTTGACAAGTCAATGTATGTGAAAAGCTGAAGCTTACTTGTTTATAAATAATTAAAATGAATATGAAAATAATTTTCAAAAGAAGTAGTATAAAACTGGCAAAATTGGAAACGAATACTAGTAAAAAGGTTTTCCTTTTGAAAGTAGTTTATTTTATGTTTTATGTGCGTCGTACATGTAGCGATCAACCGTTGGGAACAGAGGTCCGGCAGGGCCATTTGCTCAGTTCGATACTACACAATAAAACATCTCTCTCGGCATATTTCTCCTATTTTCAAGGCATATGTGCCTTATCCCATAATTCCGCCCTTATTTTTTTTTTTTAAATACATGTGGCAGAATTTTCAAACTCACTGGTAGGTACTCTTCAATGTATGGAGGGGATGATATATTTATGCTCACGATATCCGAATGGACTGGAAAACAATTATCTAACGTGGACAATACTTTGTATAAATATCATTATACCCACAAGAAAAATACATGGGCCATACATTAAAAACTACACGTGAAAAATTAATAATCAAGAAAGATTGATCCAAAACTATTGCATTGAAAAAAAATTATAATGTTATTACATAAAATTTAGTCGTTTTTATATAAAAAGTATAAATGACACTGAATTTTATATTATATATATTTTTTTGTATAGGTACATCTTTCTTTTTATACCAATTAATTATATAATATAATTAAATTAATTATATTTATTATACCATTAAAAAATTAATAATGTTATTTATTACTTATTCAGAAATCGTGAGATGCGGTCTGGTGTTTCAACCAAGTATATAGTATATATAGAGTAGCAATTCACCCTGTATATACCCTGAAAGACCCCTATGTAGGATCCACTGGTCGGCAAAATCCAATTAAAATATGCGGACATTGGGCGCGCCGGGAAAAGGGTGGTTTTAGCCTGGATTCCAGAACACGTCGGACTGGAGGGGAACGAGAGAGCGGACCTGGCCGCGAAAATGGGTACTCTCGTTCCTCACAGTGATGATGTTGGGACCACCCCGATTCGGCCTGACGACGCTAAGAGAATAGTGAAATATGATATTAGACAAATGGAAGCGTCGTTGGGCCGACCCGACTAACGCGCTAGTGTCCGTCAAGCCGACGGTCAACCGGTGGATCCCGGAGGGGATATCTCGAAGGGAAAGCGTTGTCCTGACCCGCCTGCGTATCGGTCACACACGTGCGACTCATGGGTTCCCTAGGTGCCCAGCATGTCAAGTGACTCACGGTGTCGCACGTGTTGGAGGGGTGCGCAGCTTGGCCCCGTATATGGACTGAAATGGAATACCGCCGGATTATAGGAGAATGCTCGAGCATGGCAGCGAGTTTAAGGAAAAACTTTTTAGGTTTTTAAGAGATAATGGGGTAATGGGTTGTGTATAGTGGGGTCTTTATTTCATAGATTAAAGTTTAGATTTAGTTTATGTTAGAATAGGAGTATGCTGTGCGGCGGTGCAGCATATTATTTCAAGGCTCTACTGCTGTTCCGCTAAGCCGGGTCGGGGCGGAATATCGAGTACCCTCCGACCCGGAATCTAGACAGAGGATTTGCACATGTGATTGGGTTTGTATATAGGTGTATGTATTTATTGTTTGAGAGAGTGTGAGAAATATTTTAAGCATTTTAAAATAACGACGTAATATGCAAGTAAAAGCAGAAAGTCAGTAACCAGATAGAGATGCTCAAATGGCAGCAGTTCAATTTAAAATACGCGAGAAAGACAGGAAAGAGAAGGAATACACGCGGAGGGCCGGCGATGACCTGAGCTATTTGTCGGCCCATAAACCCCCCACTTTATATATAATGTGTAGATTAGTGACTGTTAATTGATAATTATTCAGAAATCGTGAGATGCGGTCGGGTGCGATGTAGGTTTCAGAAAAACATTTTCGTTATCGTGCCAACGTTTCGATCTTTATTGAGATCATCTTCAGGGCCTGGGATTTACAAACATTGTTTACATTTAACAAATACATTTAGGATGTGGAAAAGTGAATTTATACAATGCAAAATATATTCTATATTCAATCAAAGTATTTCTAATTTTTATAAATTTTACACTCTTTCTAGAATTATTCTATGCTTGGAATAAGATATACTTAAAATTTAATAATAACATTTTTATATTTTTCATTCAATTGATTTCGTACAAGAGTTTTTTTTTATTAGGGGAGATTTTTTGTACAAAGATAAATTTAACATCGCCTTAATCATTTTAAAACTCATCTTTGTTCTCCCTTTGTTCAATTTTTTCATTATTCAATTATCAAATCAATAATTTCGCAAGGATTCTAGTCGTTGCTATTGTGTTTCTGTTAGTTAATTAAGCGTTCAGAGTTACTAATCGGATTGCGCAATTGGAAGCTGTCGGATTCTAAACTGGACAAGACATCATATCATTGCAATGAGATTGTTTTCCAACACTCACTCGAGTTTGGTTGTTTACAAATGAATCGTAGTTTGGTTAAAATATCAACTTTACAACATTGCACAACGTGGTTTTAGTTATCACTTAGGGCAAATATTTTGGGTTTGGTTTGGTCTTTTCATTAGATCCATTGTAGACTATCGTTATTTTTATTGATTACCGATTTATATAAGCTTAAATCTACCCACATATGTACGTACTCTCATGTACAGAGTTGAGCCTACCACTTCTTGCAGCCCACCGGCAATTCCAGCCAATTTATAATTAATTATCGGCAGGGCTCGAGACTTACCAACCCCATGGCATTCCGGGGTCTTATCAGTCATGCCACCGAAGTTGGGCTGTGGGAGATATCAACAGCTAGGCAATCTCATCACCCAGTGCAATCAGTTCCTAAAACCAACCCAATCCACTCTTAAATTCGTTTTTTAATTTTTTATTTACATATCCTCAAAATTTACACTTATTATACCATTATCTTAATTGTAATTTTTTAAAAATATCGATTAAAAAGCTCGAACCCAGGTGAGCTATCCTAGCAAATACGAGTTGGACGACTTGTCCCCGTTGGTTAACGTTCAATAAATTTTAATTTTGTTTAATTATTCAATAAAGTAATTTAAGCAGTTCAAATTTTTTACATCGCGTATTTTTTTAAATTTGTTTATTTCCTCCAGAAACAGTTCGTACCATTTTTACTATTGTTTTTTGCAGTTTTATTTTCTGATTGTTGGCGTCAGCTCTTGAACGGTTATATTTTCCTTGATGTTTTCACGTTAAAATCATCTTTCTTTCTTGTTTACCACATTAAATCTTCAAAACTTAAAAATTTCAGCAGTGCACGGATGAAAAATATTCAGCGTTAACAAACTTTTTTTGTGTGTCTAGCTCTTCTCACCCCGATCGTGAAACAGAAATGAAAGTAAACAGGTGAAATGTGCGATTGGCACGTAGTAAGGGATGTGTGAAAGGGGAGGGCCCTTTTGGGCAAAAACCAATACGGACGGAATGGGGTCAGCTCGATATTAGTGAGATTCCTAAGGGTCGACCACTTCATCTCCTACATAAAACATGGTCATTTAGCTAAGAGGCTCAACCAGTAGGAACGCTTCACCAGCCAAAACATTAAACAGGTTAACGGCACCTATGCCCTTCGGAAAAACCTGCTGTAAATCTTTGGGTCGATATTGCACAGGCTTTAAAACACCCTACAACTGTTTCCCATCCCCTCACCAACAAAGCAATAAATTGTTCGCTCATTGAGTGAGAACATAAATTTGAGTGATTTTGTGTTTTACTATTAATTGGAACAACATTTAGATTACGGTTATTAAAAAAAAAATTGAGGGTTTTTATAATCTTTACCTATTTTTTCTATTGCATGTCTTTAATATTAATTAAATATTTTTATCTTATTTTATTATATTATTATAGTTTTATATATATTACAGTTTTCTATCTACCTACTATCTAATATGTATACTATCATACAGATCCTATTCTATCAGATAATTTTCCTATTCTATCTTTCTGTTTATCTATATCCATCTAGTTTTTGTATAATNTGATTACTTCCTACCAATGGTGACATTCTTTGGCGTATTGATATAGGCAATGAAAATTCAGACATCACCTAAAAAATAGTACAACTGAAAATGACAAAAAAATTAGAACTGTACATCTATTTTTTTTTTAAATCTACTTTTCATCCATAAAACTATTGTTTCTAAAATTTTCAACTCTTAATAGGACAAAAAATACAACATTTTAAAAATGATTTTTTGCTTGTAAAAACCTAACTTCCTACTTAACTAGCAATGTACAGTTCTTTATTTGTTTTATTACCTGAATTAAGGACTGAGCAGGGAATTGTTCAGAAAACTTTTCCACGAGTGGGGAAGATGCGTGGACTGGTGCATTCGGTGCAGTCATGTAGACATTGCTTTCACAAAGAGGGTAAATAATAATGGCTTTGCCCCAATACACGAGGTGTCCGGCTAAATTGAACACCTATTGATTTACCAACAATTAATTTAATTAAATAAAGGTTTTCTTTTTACTATAGAATTCTACTTGAGCCAGTGTTAAGTCTGCATCAGCAGAAAGTATCTGTAAAGATTTAAGCGGCGTGTAGATTTTAATAAGCCGTATAAGGGCAGGCGAGGCATCAGGTACAAGGCTGTCCAACAACTGTGTCGCATCAACGAGCAGCAACAAGCCATGGTACGGCCTTACACTCTGCAGACATCTAAAACATAAATAAAGCAGCTCTTTAACTAATCGCTGGAAGGGAAAAAAGAACGGAATACAACATAATGTAATCAGGCATTCAGCAATTTTTACACGTTCTGCAAGTCCTATTCCTTTTGACTTGTTTAACAACTGGATATTTTCTAAGACATTGCAAACACCTGAATGCTTTGTGCCACAGCATCATCTGAGTGAATGTGTTAAGATTACATTTATATGTAATGAACAAGAGGTCAGACGATTAACCAATAGTTTCAAATTTTCAAATAAAACTCCAAGAGCAATGCTTGGAATTAATAGAAAGATCACTGCAAATACAATCCAAAGTTTGTTTTCAATGTTTTCAGCTTTCGTAATAATATAATATTGTGTTGGAGTCTGAGGTGAGCCTGTTAGTTCAGATCATTCTGGAATGCCTACACCAACGAAAATGCAGAAATGCATCCAACAGATTAAATTATCAATAATATGCTGACTTGGATATTCAGGGAAGACCTAATAATCAAAATACAGTGTGAGCAGAAGGTCATGGGTTCGAATCCCACTCATGATGTTAACTTTTTCATCTCAACCAAGACCTTAGATAGAAAGTATAGTTAATTAAAATAATCAATACAGCCAATTATGACTACTAAACATATATGGATTAATTTAATAAAAAGGACTGTAACAAATACGAATCAGATGCCCTAACTATTCAGCCATAGCAATCCCCAAGTTTCTTTACTGGCAGACTTCATAAACATCTGAAAAATAATTATGCGAGTCAATATGGGATGCGTAGATCTTGAAAGAAGCAGAAGAGACTTTGTCGCATTTTTTAAAGAATGCAGATTATAAACTTTATATTTTCTTTAAAGAATATCTCACACTGGGCAAAATTATTTCAAGTAGAAAGAAAAAAGTGCCTCTCACTCAGGAAGTGACGGAATTGAAGAACATAATCGACGGCTTGTTGTTTGAATTGTCTCTACTTCTTCAATTCACCAGGGGAAACTTTTTTTATAAATATTAATAGAGAAACAACAGCTCATACTTGTCTATTGCTTCAGGATCAACAGAAAGGGCTTTGTTGTGAAGCTGATGAACTTTTTGTGGCAGGCAGAAGCTGAGAGCGATCCACCTATTCACCCTAATCTGCACCAAGCCAGAATTACAAAGATCATTGTAAATAGTCATTAAATCTTTTGCAAGTGAGCAACGCTCAAGGATGATTTCAAAAGGCGAGTAATCTTCATCATCGCCCAAGTCCTCCGGTCTATCGTCATGAGCAGATATCATAGATTTTATTTCGCTGTTGACATAACCACAGCGCCTTTCTTCATGGCGGAGCGCTGCTCCGAGGCGCTTGCTCAGCTCGTAGTAGCACTTGACAATAGAATGGTTGGCAGCGGCCTGAAGTGCGAAAACGACGTTTATGAGTATGATCGGCCTGTTGGGCGGTTTGCCCCTCCTGGAGCATGGTTGGACGAGTGTCGGATGGCCGACAAATCTGACGTTGTTCACCTTCAGCTCGAACTTGGCCTCGCAGAGCTCCTGCTTGACGGCGAAAAGGTTCGAAAGCACTTCGTCGGGGAAATTGCCCAGACAGCCGTTCTCATTGTTCTGAGGAGGCGGCCCATGGATGTCCTCAGTGATAGTCAGGGCATAGGGGTTCTTCCTTCTAGACTGCTGCCCGTTTTCGTGGCCTTTGACTTTCTCGCACGGGTACCTGAAAAGGAGCCGGTCACCCTTGCTGTCACGTTTCACAAGAATCACGCTCAGAGGGTCCGCATCCATGCCCCAAGTGATTTTTGACCACTTTTGACATAACGAACAGCCGAACTTTAACTTGTGTGTTTTGACTTTCGACAACAACAAAATGAAACCTCCATCCACCTGGTTTTATAACAGTATAAACTTTTTTTATATACAAACTTTCTAATTTGACGTCAAACATAAACACACTGATCTTATTTTCATATCGTGATTAAATCATGAATATTTAAAATTCAAATATTTATACTTACAATGTTTTTCAGTTTCAATCATCAGAATTAAACGCAATACTCTACAAAATCATGTAATTAGTTGTTTATTTAATTTTAAAAGGCTAATTTATAGATAATTATAATATATACATAATAATTTTCCTTCCATAAAATCCTCACATTCTTTATTATTAAATATTATATAAAAATGCAATAATTTTTTTTACAAATAAGTTTGATCTTTCAAATTTCCTTATCTTCTTTCCTTATCAATCACAGGCTTGTCAGTTGTCATCAGAAAACTGTTATATGTAACTCTTCGGCTGTCGATTTTGTGGAATCAAAATATTTTCCTCGATATTATTTCGGATGAAATTAAAGGATAATAAAATTATGCTAAAAACTAAATTTTATATCCGTCAATAATTTGTTCACGAAGAAAACACAACAGCAATAAAAGTCCTGAAAAGGTTTCATCGCTCAGACTGGACAAATCGACGTTCCTCAAGGAAAACGGGCAAAATAACAGACAAATATGGGTGAAACTGAAGGAAATGAAATCGACACAAAAGAGAAACTCAATACATTGAAAAGTTGGCTTAACAAGATAATGAAAATTGTAATGACAGACGGAAGAGTATTAGTCGGCACATTTCTTTGTACAGATCGGGACGCTAATGTTATCTTGGGTGCTTGCACTGAATACGTCAATTTTGAAGTCCGAGGTCCGTTCGAAGAGTCAAGAGTTCTAGGACTCGTGATGGTGCCAGGAAGGCACATCGTCTCAATACACTTGGACGTTTCAAACGCATCTGCTGAAAAAGAGCATATTAAGACAGCACAAGAATCATCTACATCTACTCAAGAGGGATTGTACACATAAACACAAAGCACACTGTAAATGGTTAAAAAAAAATATAATTGCGATATATATATATATATATATATATATATATGTATTTGTACATCTATCTATCTACCTATCTTTCTGTCTCACTCTTTCTTTATAACTATGTATCTAATCATATATCCATTTATCGTCTTCTCCCTTTTATTTCACAATACATATTTTGGCGTCAACGTTCACTCAATTCTATCAATCTATCTACCTATCTTTCTAAGTATTTTCTTTCTATTACAGTGTATATTTCAGCCATAGTTCTCCTTTTCTATTTATCTGTACATTCTTCTAACCATCAATCCATTTATCTATCTAACTATTTATCTACATTGGTAATCATTTATTTGTCCTTTTGTGATTTTGTTCTTTGGGTTTTGCTGTTTTTCGGTGTAAACCTCTTACAGCGTTTGCTTTTATTTTTTATTTATCACATTATTTGTTTCAATAAATTTTAAAATTATTAATTTTTTTTCAATCACAACAGGTCCCTTTACACAGATCTTTAGCCGTTATAATTATAATTATATTATAACGTTTCCGGGATGGACCGTTGGGCGGCGATCTGGTTTTACAGGGATTTTTTTTCCCGAGAGGTTTTATAACAATTTTTAAAGAGAAATTTTGGCGGTTAGAACATTTATATAAACAATATAAATAGACTATTTGGACTAGTAATAAAAACATGAGCACAATGAAACAAATAAAAAGATTGTTAAATAGATCTTACTAGCTTAAATAAACCCGTTAGACTATATACCTTTATAAATCTAACATATCATATCAATTATTTAAATATATACATTATAACTTAGACTAGATATTTCATATAAGTAATGCAATTTTATACTCATATAAACATGAGAATAAGGAAAACAAAATAAATAACTTAATTTACTAAAACATGCTAGCTTAAATATCATTTATCTGTCCGTCCATTGATCTTTCTATCTATCTACCAATTTATCTGTCTAACTAACCTGTTTTATCTATCTGTGCAACATTTTTTCTAGTTGTTTTATTATCTATGCACTAATTTCTTTTACTCTTAAAATCTGTATTTTTGTGTTCTACTTCTGTTCCAATGGATTTCTTTCTTGTATTATTTTTGATTTTAATGTAAATTGTAATGATATATGTGTAATTTTTATTTTTATTGCGTAAATGGTTAGTAGCACTAAAAATAATTTCTATCCATTAATTTCACGTACTCCTTTTACACCAAAAATTAAACTTTTAGAAGCTTTAATTAGTTTGTAATTATTGTAATTTACTAATGTTAAACCTGTTGATTTGTATTAGTTTTTAATCGACGAATGTTGGGTAAATCATTTCTGGTTAATATTTGAAGAGAGTTGATCAGAGTCAAGGCGACATGTTTGCTTAGAGAATTTTTTATGAGATATCGCTTTTTCATTATTAATTCACTATCCGAGGAAATCCTCTTTTCAGTCACGACTGTAACTAAGCGAAGGAAAGAAAAAACACGCACACGCACCCAAAACGCCGATAGCTTTATAGGACGCCAAATTCGTTCTATTTTGACGAGATTTCGTAATAATAATTGAGTAATCAGGCTTGCGTTAATTTCTCCTCTAGGGACGAGGCGCTTGACGGAAGTTTCTCCCTTCCATAGAATTAATTGGCGATCGATTGCTCTGGGGCAGGGAAAACGTTCTAGAAACGTGAAAGGCAGAAGGGCGGCAAGGGGGAGGACCTGTTGTTGGCAATTCGTGTTACAAATTGTCCCAATCCGAGCATTAAATGACATCTCATTTCCTCCGTTATTTCCCAAAGGCTCTGGCTCTTATTCAGTCCCGACTTTATAACCTTTTTCTACGGTTTTGTTATAATTTTTTATGAAATGTATTTTCTTTAAATTGATCAGTAAAGACAGATTGACCTAGTTCTTTCTTAAAAGACTGCTATTCAACATGAAAATTCTGAACTTATGGCACTTGCTACAACACAAAATTGTACCTTTTTTTTTAATATTTAGGTCTTTTTTACTACAAGGACCCTTGAACATATATTGAATTACCTGCGTGAAATAAGCTGAGAGAAGCTTGTCTGAAACGGTCAAAAATTATAAAACTTGCTAGGTAATTGAGTGAAGGAAAGGAAAAAGGTGGAGCTTCCTTCACTTTAACCGCTCACTCGAAGCCTGTGGATGCTACACCCCCGATATCCAATTATTGAAAGGCGGCACAGGAAAAATAAATAATACGTGTAAATTTGGGTTACACAGAGAAATAATTTGACACGAGACTATTAAAAGCAAATACAAAAAAAAAAAAAAATAGTAAGACCTTTACTTACATACGGAGCTATAGCCTGGGCTGATAAAGCGGAACAAGTAACCAAAAGGAAAGAACTCACAAAAATACAGAGACTTGCATGCATCTGCATAACGGGAGCAATGAGAACATATCCTACAATTAGCATGGAAAAGATACTAGGATTAATCCCCCTACATCACATGGTAGAAAGGACAGCGCAGAAAACCATCATCAACTTTATCAGAGAGAAACCTCCAACAGGAATAAAACTGAAATGGAGAGATAGCAACAAACTATGGAAAGGCCATCCATCACTCATGGCTCCAAGAGACGACCTGAACAGGATGTTTGAATTTAACCAAAAATTGCGAATATATCTGGGTACCAAAAAAGAATGGGAAAACACTTCAGTATCTTCCAAGCTGAGATTCATACAATTGAAAGATGTGCCTTATTCAATGTAAGTAAAGGGTACAAAAACAAGAATATAGCTATCATGTCAGATAGCCAAGCAGCCATCAAAGCCCTAAGCTCAAGTATCATTAGTTCAAAGATGGTGCTGAACTGCAAAACCAAATTAAACATATTAGGTATGCAGAATAAAGTCAGCCTCTGCTGGGTCCCAGGACACATGGGAGTAAAAGGTAACGAGAAAGCGGACACCCTTGCAAGGAAAGGAGCTGCCACACCGCTGATAGGACCCGAACCCTCCTGTGGCATAGGAATCCACACTATTAACCAATATCTCAGACAGAAGGACAAAAAGAAAATGAAGGAACAATGGAATTCACTCATTGGACATAAACAATCCAAGAATCTTCTAACCAATTTTGGTAAGAAAGAAATCACAGAATGTGTTAAAGGAAGCATGAACAGACTGCGAATCCTAAGCACTAATGCCAGCACTGCACCGTAGAACACATGATTTGAGGAGCCAGCTATTGTTCGCACTCAATGTGTATTTGAAGTAGCGGGTTGTCTGGATGGGAATGACTGTAGAGGGCTCGAACAGTATGGTTAGGATGGTTCAACTGGGCAGTGCTTGAGCAAGCCCAGCGCGCAGCCCTGCTCGCTGTCACCCAGGCATACAGGACGGTATCCACGGTGGCCCTACAAGTCATTGCTGACCGACCGCCTATCGACCTGAAAGCAAAGCCCTGAGCGCCAAATGGATAATGGACGCCCACCATGCATCCCACGAGCACGGAAGAAGCTGATGAGTGGATGGTGAGGGAATGGCAGCTGAAATGGGATGGCTCTTCTGAGGGTCGTCACATGTATCGGCTCTTCCACATAGAAAGCCGACTAAAGATGAAGCATCTCGCCATCGACCACTACAAGTCTCAGCTACTGACAAAACATGGAGAATTTGCCGCGAAGCTCCATTCCTTCAGACTCAAACCTAGCCCGATGTGCGAATGCGGAGAAGAAACGGCGGAACATGTCTTGCTCCGTTGTGAAATCCACATCGTTCCTCGTGTACGCTGGCTCTTCGAGATAAATGAGCAGGCGGCGACCATGGATGTCTTAAGAGCAGCGATCGCCACTCGGGCGGGACTTAACGCGACACAAAAAATGTGGAAAAGCGTTATGAGACACAAAGGATGGTCGACATAATACAACACTAGATAAGAAATCAGATAAGCTTATACCTTCTCCACCTGAACATCCCGAGCGAGCCGCCTCCGCAAGGCCCATCCCGGACGCAGTAAACTAAACTGTGTCAAAGAGCTCGCCAGGTGGAGTAGAGAAGCGACCGTCTAATAGACAAAAGAAAGCTCATAGCTTCCGTCTATAATACAAAAAGCTATATAGCAGCGCAAGCCAAGAAGCTGCAAAGAGCCAGATATGGCTTAGTAGCGGCAAAAACAAAAGGCACAGACGTTTAAGATGGTTCGAAAGGTTGGCGTGGAAGGTTTGGAATCTGAACCAGATTAGTTCGTTGATAAAAGGAGTGATGACGTCTTTGTAGATAGTGAGGTTAGTGACATAATAAGATGCTTTGACAATTTGTCTAAGGGCTTTCGATTGGAAGGACTGAATGCTTTTGATACCGGATAGCTTGGCAGTTCCCCGAAGTTCCAGTCCGTATGTCCATATTGGTCTTAGTTTTCAAAGTCGATTTCGGTCGGTAGAAGTCTTCGTAGTATTCCAAGTCTTATATTAAGTTGTTTTTTTTAAGTTACAAGGATTCCACGTCAGTCTGCTTTCGAGATATAGACCCAGGTATTATATATGAGTGGAAACTAGTATCTCTTTGAAAACATATCACACAATATTTTTAACTAGTCACAAAAACGAATGAAGGCTTTTCTTCTGGTGGTGACCACTGGTAGAATTCCTCCTTGAACGGGTGACTTTCATTACACAATGGGGTAGTTGCGTGTTTACCCTTTCCTGACAGAGGATCCGGAGGGATGGTAACGAAGTCCCTCGCCAGACTTGCTACGGACTTCCACCATGGCAAAGGGCTTCGCTCGTCAGGATCACTGCGGACATCTACCAGGGTAAAAGATTTCGCTCGTTAGAATCGCTGAAGTCTTCCCAAGGCATAAACGGCTCTGATTGAGGCAGTTCCTTGGCCTGGTCAACACGGACCTCTCCGTCCTATCACCTCTTATGAAACGAAAATAGGGGAGATTATCTTCCATGTTACCATAAACTTTTCTTTGATATGCAAATGATCTATTGTGAAAAGTATAATTT